ACTAGATAGGCTGGGAGATATGGAGACGCTCCAACGACCGTCGCTGCGGTAAGAAGGAACTGAGGTGGGGCAGCGCTGGCAGGGGTACTTATGCCCCGCCATGGCGGCGCCACTCCAGGGGGCGCCCCGCCGGTGCTACGGGTACCGCTAGGGAAAACGCTCCAGAAGACGTGGTGCACGCGGTGCGCACACCTACTTCGAATGGACATGAGCAACACATCTTGAAGAACAACAGTTACAGGTAAGTAACCGTTCTTTTCTTCAATCTTGACTTCTGCATCTCTACTGAATTTAAATGCAATCTCAGGCACAGAGGAGGCAGTCCTACCACCTATCTCTCATAGCACAGATGACATTTCCACGTTCCAAGATCTATTCAGAAGAGTTGCTAATGACTTAATATATCTATGGAGGAAGTTCAGGTTTCTCCACATGAACTCACCAACATCCTCCAGTGCAACTCAACAACAAAAATTGCACTCCCTATCAATCCAGCCATTCTGGAGCCCACTAAAATCCTGTGGCAAACACCTGCATCCATCCCATCAACATGCAGAAAGGCAAATTGAAAATACTGTGTTCCCCCACAGGGTTCCCAATATCTCTTTAAACACCCTCCGCCCAACTCACTTATAGTAGATGCTGCACAGCAGAGAAACAAACAACAAAATCAATCCACCCCATCTGAAAATGACAATAGATGTTTGAATTCCTTTGGCAAGAAGGTTTATGCCTTGGCCACACTCCAGATGAAGGTAGCAAACTATGCTGCTTTACTCAGTAAATATGATTTTAATAACTACACAAAAATAAATAATTTTATTGAAGATATCCCTGATGACAAAAAGCACAGTTTAAGATCTTGTCTCCAAAGGTCAGAAAATATCGTGACTAGCCCTGCAAGCTGCACTTGTTGCAGCAGATACAACTATGAGGACTATGGCAACAGCTGTGACCATGAGATGAGCCTCCTAGTTTAATTCTTCTGCCTTTCCCTGCCAAGTCCAACCATTGGTGGAAGATCTTCTGTTTGAAGAGGAAAAGCTCTTTTGGCAAAGACCAATGAGTTGCTCCAGTTGATGAAGGATTCCAGAGCCATATTGCGGTCACTCTGTATCCAAACATCTATGATGAGACCAAGACAATACAAGTACCAACCATATCAGAGATCAAGGTATACCCACAATTCATTTATCAATAACAGAGGCAAGACCATGCTCCATACCACCAGAGGAGGCGGAACAGGCAACACAGATGTTGTCCTCAGAATAACCTGAATCGTTCGTCCCAACCCAACAAGCAAATTTGAAACAGTTGAGAGATTGAAAACCACACCTTTTCCCCAGAGCTTGAAATTGGTTCCAAACAATTCCGTTTTCGTTTATTGCCATTCCTACCAAATTGGGAAGCTATTACCTCTGATAAGTGGGTAATTCAAACTCTCTCCTTTTTATGAGATGTCTCCAAGGTTGGGTCCAACTCAAATACAAACCACATGTCCATCATATGACCTAAATGCTCACAGTACCACATACAGTGAAAGCATCCCTACATTGGGGGACAAAATCTGTCCAACCTCTGCATAGGCATCCCTTTTTGAGGCCTGGATCCCACTGTAGTTATCACTACAGATGCATCCCTTACGGGATGGGGTACTCACATGGAAGGTCGAACAGCACATGGTCTATGGTCCCTGGCAGACCGCATTCTTCACATCAGTGCCCTCAAACTCAGGGCAATTCAGCTGGCGTGCCAAGAACTACTTCCCCATGTCACAGGGATTCATGTGAGAATATATACAGACAACACGGCATGCCTTTTTTAATATAAACAGGCAAGGCAGGCCTCAATCACGGACTCTGCTTGGAATCCATAGCGCTTTGGAATTGGTGTCTAGCCCGAGACATCCGCATATCCTCTTGTCACCTCCCTGGGGTTCTCAGTTTGATAGCAGATGCCCTCAGTAGAGCCCTGCTACAAGAACACAAATGGGAACTCAATTGTGTGCTCCACGACATATTCAACCAATGGAGCTTCCCAGATATAGACTTATTTGCCACCACAACCAACAAAAAATGCCCACGCTGTTGCTCCAGGGTAGGCATGGGGAAACAGTCCCTTGGGGATGCTCTTATTATAACTTGGAATGCACCCCTGCTTTACGCCTTTCCCTCGTTTCCTCTCCTCAACAGAGTCCTTATAAAAACTCTGACGGTCAAAGCAAAAATCATCCTCATTGTGCCCTTCTGGCCTCGACAAATGTGGTTTCCCCTCCTATCAGGGTTCACCAAGCAGCCATTACAACCTTCCACGTACCAGACAACACAGTCTTCGCACACGCAATAACCAAGTGATTTCTGAAAGGTCTGCAGGCTCTATACCCAGAGGTGGTACCCCCTCGAGAACCATGGGACTTAAACTAAGCATTAACAACACTCACAAAGCCGTCATTTGAACCAATGGCGACATGCTCCCTACACCACTTATCTTTAAAGACGGTATTCCTGGTAGCAATAACCTCAGCCCATAGGGTGAGCATGGTGGCCCTCATGGCGGAACCACCTTTCGTGATCTTTTTTTAAAGATAAGATCACGATGCAGCCACATCCTAAATTCCTACCTAAGGTGCGCTCCTCTTTCCACATGAATCAGTTGCTCTACTTACTAGTATTTTTTCCAGAACCTCATACTAACGCATTTGAAGCTCAGATGCTCACCTTAGATGTCAGAAGGGCTCTCTTCTTCTACATCAACAGAACCAAATCTTTCAGATCCTCTTCACAACATTTTGTGTCTATCGCAGATCATAGTAAAGGAAAACAAATTTCATCACAGATATGATCACATTGGATTTCAGAATGAATCACTACTTGTTATTCGCTAAATGACTTACCTCCACCATTTCCAATCTGGGCATGCTCCACAAAAGCGGTTGCCACATCCATCACTTACCTGAGAAAAATTCCACTGCACGACATATGTGCAGCAGCTACGTGGTCTTCAGAGATCACTTTTGCAAAACATTACGCACTTGTTTCGGGACCTCTTCAGCATACTAAACTAGCAAAAGCTGTATTACAAACAGCATTCTTACCTGATCTGAAGTCCCTATCTCCATAAACATATTGCTTTGTAGTTACCTAATGTGGAGCATCCCCAGGGACGCCTCTCGAAGAAGAAAAGGAGGTTACTCACCTTCCTGTAACTGATGTTCTTAGAGATGAGCGTCCTTGAGGGTGCTCCACTACTCTCCCTTTCTCCCCTCTACTTTGGAATACCTTAATGGTAACCTCTATAACACCTTCTCTATCTGGAACCCAGCAAAGAATGAACGGAAGGGGGGAGAGGGTGCTGCGCACACACAATGGCACAGGAGAAGGCTCGCGCGCACCGTGAGGCCCCCAATGCACTGCTAAGAAAAATCCATAGAGAGGCGCTGGGACACTCAGCAGCTCATGTGGCGCACCCCCAGGGATGCTCATCTCAAAGATCGTCAGTTACAGGAAGTAACCTCCTTTTCCGTGGCCAGGACCAAGGCACCCCACCTAACCCCAAGTCCTGCTGACACTGGGGGTTCACTAGCCTGGCTAGGGCTCCTCTGCTGCTACCTTACCCAGCCGCTGCTGGCCCAGCCATGGCTCCCCACCTCTGCGTTCTTCTGGCTGGCTCCTGCTACTGGCCTTTGGTCTTGCCAGGCCACAGATGTTGCCAAACCAGAGTGTCCCAGATTTGGGAGGTCCAACCTGTAGTAAAATGTTTTATAGCTGAAGCAGACATAATAGGCTTGATGCAGAAATTACTTGATGGGTTATGTGACCAGTTCTGAATAGCAGACTAGATTAAAAGTCCGTGAAAATAGTTTGGTCTCTTTTGGAAACCACTGTGGGAAGGAAAAGAATCCACAGAAGAATCTTGACCTACTAGTGAATAGAAACTATTTCACTAGGAGGGTAGTGAAGCACTGGAATGGGTTACCTAGGGAAGCAGTGGAGTCTCCATCCCTAGAGGGGCTTAAGTTTAGGCTTGACAAAGCCCTGGCTGGGTTGATTTAGTTGGGATTGGTCCTGCCTAGAGCAGGTGGCTGGACTTGATGACCTTCTGAGGTCTCTTCCAGCTCTATGGTTCTATGATACCAACAGTTGGGGATGAAAAGAATTTTTTGTTGCTGCAGGAGCATGGTTTTGCAAGGGCCTGAGAAATATCTATACATCATTCTGACATCTTAAACAGTAACAAGCCAAATAGAAAATATTTGGGGGAAATGGAGTTTGGGCAGGTAACTTGCATCCATAGGAACCAGACTGAGTTGTGTTGGTTCATTTTGTGAAAAACAATGGTTCCTTCACTGTGTCTCTGTTGCAGGAAAGAAAAGAAAATCTCCTTATAAAGGTAGAACTTTTTTGGTTAAAAATGTTTATGTAGGTAGACACTGTATATTTATTATTTCTTTCCACAGAGCCCAATTTACTGAGTGGTACTGCCCACAGTGTGAACAAACGAGGTGTAAAGAGGCGAGATCTTGACATTGAAGAACTGAGAGAGATCCTGTCTTCTCTTTTACCTGTTGTCCGCATTGAGCACATTTTACCTATGAACAGTGAAATATTGAATGATGCTGTAAGTCTTTTCCCACACCTTACTATCTACCTTTCAGAAACACAGATCTTGCCTGTGGGACTTTATACGTGAAGTAGTGCAGAAATAAATCCTGGGTTATTTTACATTTTTGAGACAAACATTAAATGTTACCCATCAGAATATTTATAAACTTTTGTTATTGATAATTATAATGAAAATAGTGTTTTGATGCAAGTTTTATGCAAAATTAAATTTGGAATGGCTGGTGAATTTTGAACTCCGATGGCTATTACTTGTTTTAATAAAAAAAAGCTTTTGAATTCCTCAGGGAGCTTAGCTCTACCTATTCAGAGTACCTTCTTGCTGTTTACATTACTAATATTTTAGTAACCAAATTTTAATGTATTCAGTTTAAAAATTCTGTCTCTTACAGATGAAAAGAGGCCTCATTAGCACCCCTCCTTCAGACATGCTACCAACAGCAGAAGGTGGAAAGTCAAATGCGTGGTTACGGCAAAAAAATGCTGGGATATATGTTAGGCCACGACTGTTCTCACCATATGTAGAGGAGGCAAAGGTAATCACTGATAAGTGGTCATAACTAAACTGGTATTAACAAGAAATTGTCTAGACAGAAAGTTTCAGTATATCTTGTATTGTTTGCATGTTCTAGTCTAAAATACTAACACTGTCAGTTTATCAAGTCTTAAAGGTATGATCATCAGATCCAAATCTACAGTTTGTCAGAAGAATGTTGGCATCTTTTCATGCCAGGATTTCCTGAAATCAGAATATTTTGAGGAGTCTCTTTTATTTTCATGAAATTCTGAGTGAAGACCTGCCTGACTAGTTGACAAGAGAGCTGAGAGCCTAGAAGTTCTGGGTTTTACCATGCAGAAAATAGCAATTGCATTTTGTGAAGAATTTTGAAGTTTTTGGTTTTCATTCCAAATGTGAGTGAAATAAAGCCACATTTTAAAACTTCAAATCTTCTGTGATGGGGTAGGAGTGTGATGCAATTTGGCAATACTAACTCACAAAGTGGTGCCTTTTGTGGACCGTTGTTGCACATAAAGTAGCCAAGATTTATGCCAAGAACTGGTTTGACTTCAACATTGCCCAAGTTTGGACGCAGAAGGGCAGTGTGAAGTCAGCTTTTCTAATCTCTTCCCCCAACCTCCCTCTGCTGCCCATGCTCTTGTGCATCTGAAGATCAAGTTTCTGTACTCAGAAGAAGAATCCATAAATGTGAGAAGGAGGGGGGGGGTTGAAGAAAGATTCCTAATTTGTTTTTCATTGGATCAAACTAAAGAAACTCTTAACATTTAAATCCCTTTTGCTACCATTAAGGTGCTATTTTGCTAATATTAATGGGAATTTATTCCTCCACGTTTTAGCTCTCGCCTAAAGTAAAAATGGAGCTGGCAAAAGTTACTCAAAAGAACTCTTAGACATTTGTACTAAAAGATCCATCCTCTAGTTTGTGTGTTAGACTTACAATTTTTAAATGGTATTTTTTAAAACATTGATGCATACAGCATCAAGAAAAGGTATTGGCTAAAAAGTTAACCATGATAAATCCTGGATTGTAACTTCTATTTAGTGTAATAACTTAAAAAAATCTGTAATCTTAGCACTCTGCATGAAGGCGCATCACCAGAGTGCATTACCAGAGTCTTAAGGGAAAACAAGATGATGCATTCTCTAAATGTATTTGTCTAGAATCTAGGTTATGAGTGTGTTTGCTTGGTTAAAATCAATCTTAAGTATTTAATTTTATATGTGAAAAATTGATTCACTTGAACATTTTATTTTTGACCCTTGATGCATACATACTCAATTTGCATCTAGTGATTGTATGTTAATTCATATACCCAGTTGGTATTGTGATGTATAAAAGTCACATATTTCCAGTTTCAGCTGATTCTTATACCTTTCTTAATATTTCAATACTTAAATTACCTTCCTGCTCATGTAAAAGAATCAATTTAGAATTAAATGAGAACTTTAATCAAATTGTCTATGAATATCCCCTTTTATCATCAGTTGAGAAGTTTTAGGGAAACAGGTTTCTTTTCTAGGAAAGGTGCATAGTGGTTTGTCTTAAGAGTTAGGAGTCAGGAAATATGGATAATATTCCTGCATCTTTCTCAGACTGATTGTGACCTTGGGTGAGGTGGGGGGGGGGGAGAATTGACTTACGTTCTTTAATATATAAAATTAAGAGAATATATTTCTAACCTCATCTGTTGGGTGCTGGATCTTAATTAATGATTGCAAAGTACTGTGAGATGATTTTGAGTGGAAAATACTTTAGATAAGCCAAGTAATGTTATTCATTGGGAGCAGAAGAAATGGGTTTGCATACTGCTAAGCATTCAGTCACTGTGCTTCCTACACACTCACAGTACCTTTCATAAGGATAGATCTGCATATTTTAGGGGACAGTAGTTGGTTGTATTACGGTTACTCTTTGTGGAAAATACAACTTTGGAAAAGTCGTAGATTTTTTTTTTTTTTTTGAAGTAGCTCTTATTATTTGACTACTGTTGTTTTAGTCGGTGCTAGATGAGATGATGGTGGAGCAAACAGACCTAGTTCGTTTGCGGATGGTTAGAATGTCCAATGTGCCAGATACCCTCTACATGGTAAACAACGCAGTGCCACAGTGCTGTCACATGATTAGTCACCAGCAAATCAGCAGTAACCAGTCCAGTCCTCCTTCAGTTGTCGCCAATGAAATCCCAGGTATGAATGCTAGCTGATCTGCAGCAAATTATTTTCTGTCCTAAGGGATTTTGTTGATGGGGGTTATTAAATTCTTGTTGTTTCCAAGAGTTTTCTCATCTGGGGGTAGTAGATGGACTGCTTATTTTAAATGATTTTCTACAAGGACTCTTGAGTTTAGAATGTGTGGGAATTTTTGAGTAGTAGAAGAATTCTAATTGTGAGGAAAAGGAGCAGTGGTGGAAAAGGTGCTTGTACACAGTTAGTGCAGAAGCACTTGTAACCATAGTATCTCACCAATATGATAACTAGAAGTATCTACTCTCATGAGCTGTTCATAACTGATAGCATTCAGACATGTCCCCAAGAGCAGAAGGCAGAAACATTGCTATCCTACAGACAAGACTCAGCAAAAGCAACCAAATGTCACATTATATAACACATTGTATTGTGTCGGTCAAACATTAATGAACTGCCAATGTGAAAAATTTCCACTAATTAAGTCATCCTTGACCAAAAATGTTCTGTTTCCACACCTAAAAAATTCAGCTCCAAGGACATGTGATGAGAACATATCAGCTACTCTTAAATGCCATCATAGCTGAGTTCTGGGTAATTCAAGGTTTAAAGCAGCAGTGAGGAACCTCTTTTCAGTCAGGAGCCAGTGACCCACAGAAAAATCAGTTGGGGGCCACACTAATAGGAAGTGCAAAAAATCTAAACCACAACAACTTTACTGATCTGGCCCCCAAGTGAGGAAAAAGAGACACTTCACTCAGAGGCACCGGAACTGTACTCACACTCCAGCCCTGTTGGAGGGTGCTGAGATTTGAGGCTTCCCCCAGAAGTGGGATGAGCCAGCTTTTGCACTCCAGCCCCTGCTTATTTTAAATGATTTTTCTACAAGGACTCTTGAGTTTAGAATGTGTGGGAATTTTTGAGAGTAGTAGAATTCTAATTGTGAGGAAAAGGAGCAGTGGTAGAAAAGGAAGAGAGAATGGTAAGACTCAGATTACTGCATGGCTAGAGTGCAGGTGCTGGCTCACCCCGCTGCGGGAGGAAGTTCCCCACCACAGCTTACAGATGGTCACTGGCACTTTAACTCACACCTGAAAGCAAACAGCAAGCCAGTACAGCATTCTGAGCGCAGGGTTTTGTGTTGACAGTGGCTGTGGGTTTTATTTAATTTTCCACTAACAAGAAGAAAAAGGGGATGTTTTGTTAGGTTAATGAGCAGGGAAATCATTAGAGCTGTCGACTGAGGCAAATAGGTTTATATTATAGACATATATTACAAAAAGGTGTACACTCACAGCAGGAGCCATTCCTGGAGCACAGATGGCAGAAAGAGCAGCATTCTCCTGTCTGTACTGCAGGGGGTAGGATCCTCCTGTGATTCTCAGCTGATCATTTCCCCACAAGGACAGAGTGAATGTTTTGGGATAGCAGCATGACATGTTCCTGAGGCTTTGTGAACCTCTGCTGAGCTATGCCAGCAGTATTCAAATTAGGGTCAGCAAACTCTTGTCTGGGTGGTTTGGACCTATTTTTCTTTGCCTGAATCAGAAGTCATGCAATAACTGAACTTGGCCCAGGAACTTCTGAGTGAAACTATATTGGTCCTGTCATCTGCTTCTATAATAATTGCCTTTCAGACAACACTAAAATGTTTGACCTTAAAAGATTAAACGTGTTGACCAATTTTCCCTCTAATCTTTTTCATCAATGTGCAGAATAAATTTATGTGCACAGAAGCTTGTGTGATTGTACATCACCAATAGAAACAAAAAAGCCTAGCTGTGGGCGCACTGCTAATTAGATGGGCAGCATTTGAATCTCTCCCAAGCAGCAGCAGACGTGCACAGCTTACAGGGAACGCTGGTATTGATTTATGAAAACTTGCTCCAAACACTAGCCAGACTATTGTTAACAAACCTTTTGAAGGGAAGGTTAAGTCATGCTGCCCTGAAATCTTCCTTTCATATAGTGTTACCTTGTCCCCTGCGATGTGAGTGTTTGCCAGGATGAATCAGGGTAGAAAGGCTTGTTTAAGACTCTTGGAGATGTAGATCTGCTCACTTTTACTAAGTAAGTTCATATGCCAGCAATACAAAAGAAAACATTTTGAAAACATTAGCAGTCTGATACAGCACACACACTGGTGATCTTTATGAAACTAGAAGCAACTGATGTTTGATTGTAGTTATATGAAGTGGTGTTTGTTCCCTCTCAGAAATGCAGAAACCCCACTGCTCTTGCTGTCTAACCCATTTAATCTTTGTGGATCTTTAATCACAGACAGTAATATCTTGCTATTGGAGAGCTGGTGAAGTTCACGATCCCAGTGCCACATTTATGGAGGCTTGGATATAACTTTTCTAAAGATATGCACGTTACAAGGGACAGAAAATCCACAAAGAAATATCACTCACCAGACAGCAGCAAAATGTTACCATGATAGTTGTGCAATTGGATAACCAGATACCCAAAATTACATATGATTTCCTTTTATAAAGGTTTTTAATGATTTCAAGGCAACTACATAAAACTGTAATTTTCATAGGTTTATGTTGGCTTAAAACTCACATAATTTCTTTAAAATGTATTTTCTGAAGTTGTTGTTGGAGCTATGGTCTTGTGGTCCCAGAATTCCACCAAAAACCTAAATTGCGCCAAGAACATCCGCATATTGTTGGCCTATAGTATTGCAGAGGGACTGAACAATTGAGATTTAAGATATTCAGGCCCCCAAAACATAAAATTCCTACATTCTGTAAGGAGTTTACAAAGAAGAATATATTTGTGGTTCACTTCAGTAGAAGCAAGAAAAATGGCACACATCCTTGGCACTAGTGTGCTCTACACTTTACTTCATGAAGATGTTCTAAGGCAGTGTTTCTCAAACTGTGCTCTGTGGAGTCCCAGGGCTCCGTGAGGTTGACAACATGGAAACATCGGTAGGTACAACACGTACATCAGTGGACTGCTGGGGCTCCGCATAAATTTTTACACGTGTAAAGGGCTCTGTAGCCCAAAAAGTTTGAGAACCACTGTTCTAAGGCATTAAAGCAAAAACATGTAAGTCATATTATTCTTGGAGGGGTGCCAGTGGTCTTATATAAGATAGTCAGCCTAACATGAATTCTGCATGAAAAGCTAACATTAATCATAGCATTGAATTGCATGGTCCCATTAACAGTTTAAGAAAAAAATTGTCTTGTAACTTTTCACTGTTTCCTCCCCCCTCAGTTCCCCATCTCCTTGTTGTTAAAGAGATGGTCAAACGACTCCAGGAGCTCCGTCATACTGAGCAGGTGCAAAGAGCATATGCTCTTAATTGTGGAGAAGGAGCCACAGTCAGTTATGAGATTCAGATTCGAGTATTGCGAGAGTTTGGACTTCCTGATGGTGCTGCTGAGCTTTTGCAGGTATGGAAAACTGGATATGTATAATTCCTCCTCCAGGGTGATTTGGTGAAAATTAGGGATGTTAGAAATAAATAGGAGGGTGGGGGGGCTTAGTAAATGTGTAACCACAACAATTCTTAGTGGTTGCACAATTATTCTGTGTCCCCGGGGGTGGGGCTGGCAGCCAGTGCACTCTTGGCCCCATTCCCAGGAAGCCCCCTGCTACTACTATATCAGAGGCAGCAACACGAGGAGCAACAGCCGCAGTCTGTGGGGGACCCCAAGTTCCTATTGCACAGAGACTGCTCCAGCATCCCACAGAGCAGCCTCTGTCTGCTGCTGCCGCCCCACGCTGCTGCATTTCCTATCAATCTGAGTTTTAAATACAGAGCACGCAGTGGAAGGAGTTGTTGAGGTTAACTAGAACTGTTTAACTGATGAGCAATTGCTTATCAGTTAAACAGTTATCCAGCTAGCTGCTAACTTACCTAATGCAGGTCTTTTGAAAACTGAACATTTGACCAAAAGTGTAACAAATCAAGCAAAAAATCAACAAATCAAGCATTGTTCAGGTGTACACTTCAGAAAAATCTGCTTTTGTATTTCCACAATATGAAAGAGAGCTTATTTCCAGAGTCAACCAACAGTGGCATTAGTTGAAAGAGTGGAGGAGAGACAGAGAGGACGTTAATGCTTCTTTTTGGAAAAGATGTTTCACTGCTTGTGACTCGTTTGAATTCTGGTTTGTGTATTGGTTCAATGATTCTTGCACTGTTGTTTGTCATGTATGAAGAATAGGTATATTTGTGCAATACCTATATTCTTTTGGGAACAAGAGCATTCAAACCTGAGTAAGAGGATTCTGTCTGTGTGCACTATTGTTTGCTAATTGTAATCTGTTATTTTCCTTTTTGAAAAGCTTCCTTCTAGACCACTCATGCAAATAGTGAAAAATGAGCAATTTGAGAACAACTTGTTGGCTGCAAAATTGTTCATCTATATGACTCTGAATACGTAAGAATTAACAAATTTGTTCAAAAGTGAGTCATGAAGATGAAAAAAAGACTTAATATTTAGATAGTAAGTCTGTTCTTGCCCCCCGAAGAATGTACAGTGTGCCCGAATAGCACTTATAATGATTGGTAGGAAGGAAAGGGGACAGTTTTGATGAAGGCCTTCAGATGCTGCTGGATTGCAAATAATTATGGACATCTTAATCAGAGAGAGTAATTTCACCAGCTCTACTCCATAGTTAAGGTGATGCATGGCTCTCACCTCTGACTTTTTCCTCAAGGTGTCTCCCTTATGGCAATGCACTACTCTTTCATGATCAACTCTTTGTTGCCTTTTGAATTTTACAGTGTATTATTTAAAACGGTGGGACTAATTTATCATTGTACAACACCTAGATTACAAGTCCCAATCTTTGATCAGTTTTATAGGAAATCTGCCTCGAAACCCCTGCAACTCTCTAATCTTTTCCATTTCGTTGCTTTCCCTTGCAGAATCCTCACAAGTTCTTTCCTGATGAGCGGTTTGGGGATGAAAGCCCACTCTTAACTATGAGACAGTCTGGACGATGTCGAGTTAACAGCACTCCCACTGCAGAATCCATGTTTACAGAACTTGACTCTTTTGTGGCCTTCCATCCACCACTGCCCCCTCCTCCACCTCCATACCATCCGCCAGCTACTCCTATTCATAGCCAGTTCAAAATGGGCTGGAAACAAAGGGTGCCGAGTCAACATCCCTCACGGTCCTTTTCTTATCCATGTAACCATACACTGTTCCACTCCAGGACAGCTCCTAAAGTTGCTCCACCTGTCTACTTACCTGGTGTCAAAGCAGCAGCGCCACCTGATTGCACTAACACTACAGGACTGGGGAGACAAACTGTAGCTGCTGCAGCAGCAGTGATGGCAGCTGAAAAGAAAGCAGTAAGTGCATCTTTTCCCTCCCATCAAAGTAATTTGTTGAAAAGGAAAGTTTAAGATGGAATGTAATGAAATTACTGGGTTCAAGTGAAGGTGCAAAAGCATCATTTATAGTTCAGTGGGGAGCATAAATGATCCTTCTCCCCTCTATACCGTCTGTAAAATACTTGAACCATCATGGTGGAAAGAGTCAAAACAGAAGGAGTAGAACTAGTGGAGTACACAAGGGAATAGGTGGGGATAGTTGTTACTCTTGCAATAAATATTCATTTTAGAAGTAATGTTGATAGGGCAATTTGAAGTAATGTTGACATTTAGAAGTAATTTAGAAGTAATGTTGACAAGCCAGCAGAAGGCGGTTGAGAATGAGATACATGCATATACAGAAAATGTTCATGGGCTTAACATCAAAAGGTAAAGAAAAAACTGTATACAGGCAGTCCCCGGGTTACGTACAAGATAGGGACTGTAGGTTTGTTCTTAAGTTGAATTTGTATGTAAGTCGGAACTGGTACATATTGTAGGGGAAACTCTAGCCAAACATTTCTCCAGAGCTCAGTTTTATTCTCCCACACCTCACTTCCCTCAGTCCTTTATTCTCAAGCTGAGGTGTCTGCTGAGAAAAGCCGCTCCGCGTCTCCCTGGTCTGCTTGGGGGGGCGCTAGCTTCGTGTCTCCCTGGTCTGCTGGGGGGAAGCATCTAGTGCAGGATTGCCTCACCCCGTTTGTAAGTAGGGATCCAATGTAAGTCGGATCCATGTAACCCGGGGACTGCCTGTATATCTAAGTTACAAGGAAAACTGGTTTTCTTGAGTGAAGCTGACCTCATATGATTGGTTGTATGTCTGGATAGAAATGTAATTGCTACAAGCACATTTTAAAAATAAAAGTTTTTTTTTAATGTTGACATTACTTGATATCAGTTCTAGGACTCCTAAGCCTATTTCAAGGCTGCATGTGCATTGTTTCCAACACACTATGCTTCAGTTTCAGAAGACCTGCTTGTAGTCACTCAGATCTTCCCAAACAATTTATATTTACTTCAGTCTAAAATTTTGTATGCTTTTGCACCCAAAGATGACTTCTATTTCTCAGTTGGTAAAATTTAGTTCAGCTCTTTCTAAATTATCTGAGCTTGGTAAAAGTTGTTTTCATATTAAGAAAAATATTCAAGTGTTTTCTTCTGCTCTCGTTGCAAAATATTCCATTTTTAAGTTACTTCACACGTTATGTTCATATTCCTTGTACTAAGAAATGCCTTTGATATAATTTAGTGTTGGAAAGTTATGCTCAAAGCATCCATGCTTCTTAGCCACCAGATTACAGATTGATCCAGCACCCTCAGGAGCAAAGGAGGAAGTTTGTTGGACCAGGGGAAGTTGGCCCCTCTGCTGACGGACTCCAGGCTATCACGGGGTCTGTCAGCAGATTGCCAGACTCCCTTGCACCCGGGCCGCTCTGGCTCCGCTGGCCTGAGCCGGAGCTCTCTAGTACTTGATGTTGCCAGACCAGAGGTTCAATCTGTGTTAACAAGCAGCTACGTAGTAGGAACTCCACAGGTTTGAATGAGTGAAACTGCTTTTAACAAGCTGATTTAAAGTAGCTATATGTATGCTTCTTAGTATTCTTTTAACTTTAAAGATGCATGCACCCCTTGAATGCCATGTATTGATTAAGAATTTAGCATAGGAATTGCCCTACTGGGTAAGAGTAGTATTCCATATAATCCAGTATTTGTCTCACTTCAGATGTTGACATATCCATATAAATCCTTTATATAAAAAAACCCACCTTAAGGGAACTAGGTAACTTTTTGCATCCCTATTTTATTGCCAATTAGTTTGGATCAAGTGAATATAGAAGATAAGCCTCTCCTGTAGGTGACTGAAAAATAAATTACTGAGTGGTATGAGCCTCTTCAGCCCTGTTTACTCTATTTTGATAGTTAAAAATATTAACTAATTTGGAGTAGCATGTGCTAATCAGTAAGTTTGAAACAGTTTTGACATTTCTGGCTAGGATTGTTAGATGTCTGAAGTGGCTAGTGGATAGCATCACCAACTACTACAGAAAGTGATGTTACAGATAAATTTAATTCAGATATAGAAGTAAAGCAAAATCCAAGTAGACTTAACGTTTTCTTTCTTTTCCAGGGTACTCAGCCCATGTTAAATGAGTTGATGCCAGATATTGCTATGGGTGTGTCAACGATGTCACTAAAGGATAGAAGATTGCCAGAGCTCACAGTTGACACAGAATTAAGCCAGCCAGTGACAGAGGTTGGAGCTGGACCACCCCAGCATATTTCATGTATTCAGACTAGGCACATACACAGTTCTCGAAAGAAACATGCAATAGAGCAAAAAATGGATACACGAGAAAATCAACAGGAGTATCCAGATTTTTATGACTTCTCTAACGCTGCTTGCAGACCTTCCACTCCAGCACCTACCAGACATACTCCTTCACCTTCCCAAGGCATGTACTTTGGTCCAGATTTGTATAGTCACAATAAGGCATCACCAAATGGCTTAAAGTCAGCCTATCTACCTAACCAGGTATCTCCTAAAAAGCAAGAAGATTCTAGGAGAGAATACGTTCTTTCCCAAGATGGGCATCAGCACAGACAAAAGAATGAGCCCATACACCTCGATGTCTTAGAACAACCTCCCCAGCGGTTGGACTTGGCATTGGTTGCCCAGGAAAATGCTGGTAATGGCCCAGTTCACATCAGGGGAAGAACAAAAATGGAAACTGACTTGACCTATGGGCTAACCTGCAACAGACCTTCACTTTCTACGTACAGTTGTGAGATACAAGAAGAACGATCCAGCAGGAGACTGGCAGATGAAGAACCTCTGGAACATGAAGCACAGAGAAATACAGATTTGGAAAGGGAAGATGCAGTAAGTAGAGGAAGGAGGTCTCCAAGCAAACCAGACTTTCTGTACAAAAAGTCTGCCCTCTGAAAGCCACCTCCCCTATTTCTCTGTGCCTGAGAGTCGTGAAACACCCCCATTTTTCACAACTTTTTGGCCTGACAGTTGTCAGACAAAATCATTAATGCCAGCAGAACACTCTATTTTGCTCACATTTTTTGTATATACATTGATTTATTAGAGACAGCATGCTATCAGTTTATTTTGAATGCTGCTTCTGGTTTTATTTTTGTGGTTTGAAGATATTAAGCCTTTAAGAAAATAGCTGGCACTTTTTTTAACAAATTGGTAGCCTTTTGCACCTGTACATTTATTTTACCTGTATTAGTTTTGTACTAATATGTTGAATTTTATTGTTACATTTAAAGGACTGTATTTTCATACTTCTGCATCTTACCTTTCACCTACCAATTCTCCATGTGCATTGGGTTGCACACTATCAAATGTATTTTCTTATGAGATAGTAACAATGTTTATTTTTGAATTATTATAGGAATTCCAAAGAACAGCACATCAAAATACTTTTTAGTAATGTCGTTTAGGTGAGAAATCTTCCTAGTTTATCACTACTGCAAATCCAGTTTAATACCATTCTGTTTAATAGGTCATTGCAGCTGGTCTCCCTTAATTTTGATTCAGGAAGACTACTTTAAAACATATGGCTGGGATTTTCAAAAGAACCTAAAGGATTTAGATTTGCAGGTCCCAATGAACTTCATTTGAAGATAGGTTGTTGTTGCATTAGGCTCATTTAAAAAAATCTTAGCCTACATTTTCTGGCTTATTTGTGATGTTGGAGAATTTCATGGGCAGCGAGAAGCACTTATTTTCAGACTCAAATGATGGATTTGCCCATATGTGAAGAAAATGTAATACTGCAAATTGATGATAATACTGCTGTGCTGGTCAGGATACCCTGGAATTGGGCTGCTCAGAGTTCAGAGGATTCATGCCAAAACCCTAAAGCTCTAGGGAGATCAGGCTGAGTATCTGTTGTTGTCTAAATTATAACACTGTCAAGTGAGAGGATTGCCTCTCTCGTGGAGGTGCTAAGGTGACTGCTTATTGCCTTGTTTTGTCCTGCTATGTGAAAAACAAAGGGCTTTAGTCTACATGGTGTCATTCAGTGTTCCTTAACATTTTAAAGGTCTCTGATTTTTATCATTTTAGCCATTACCTCTTGTTAACAAAATCATGAGTACCGCCTGCATTAGCTTCATTGGTTACATATGGCTTAGCACTTTTTTAAATTACACCACCAGCCCCTTGAACAGAAAAAAAAAATGGGAGGAGGGAGAGGTGTCTTTCAATAGTATGAATACAAAGTAGAGAGAAGACACAGATAGTTTGACCCTTGCCATTGTGCTGAGATTACACACAAAGGGTTTAGTGATAGTAATGCAAAAGTCAACACTTACTTCCCATTCTGAGTGTTGTGAAAACTCTCGTATATGATACAACAGTGTAAGTGTTGGTAAATGCCTTTTTTGGCAATGGTCACTATAATGAAAGATCTTCCAGCAGATGAAGATTTTAGTCAGCTAAAGACTATTTTAACCTTAAAAATGCTTAGTGCTATTTAAATGTAAATCTTTCCATTTTCTTTATAAGGCATTTTTCATGTAAAAGGCATCTCTTCTTGCTTGTCTTGCACCTTCCCCCCCCCCTCCTAACCCTCTCATTAATGTATACGAGGCTTAGGGAGCCATAAGACCTTATTGTGCAATTATATACTGAATTTTCAAAATTAAAGCATTGTTTGAATAAACTCTAGCATGAGTTTGTGATCTAGTAAATTATAATCTCCTGTAGCCTTCCACATCGTGTAAAATTCCTTTAATGTACAGCCATGTTAGTCTAATCATATTGGGTGGTGAAGATTGACTGAATCACAGTTGGTCTTTTTCATCTTTGGGTGCTTGGTTTGGACTCTAGCTTGGGCCACAAATATAAAATGCATACGGTGATTCCCATTTTCCAATGTGTACATTGTTTTAATGGAATCGTGTCAGTGTGGAAGTTGTCCTCCCCTCAGAAAACTTTAGGGTGGGTTAACACTGGTGTGTCAGGCTAGAGACTGAGGTACGTTGCCCTTACTCTGATGTCTGTCACATTTTTGAACACTAATTACTTACCTGTATGTACTGCACCTCCCCCACTTTGTGCTCATGAGCACTAACATGGATGTATCCCTCTCTCAAAAACAAATTAGAAAACTAAATGACTACTTGCATCAAAGCCTGTGTTCAAATGTTAGTAGCTTGATCCCTTTATAAATCCTAGCTTCCAACATAAGACTTACTATTCTAGATAATTTACTTCGCATACAACTGGATAAATCTTAAGGTAAATCTTGTTTTAGCTATTGATGTCATTCAGTGTGGCACTCGGTTAAATTGTTGCTAAAATGTCTTAGAAATAGTATGAGTAGTTTGCTGCTAGCATCTCACACCACTGAGCAGTACTTAAGGAAAAACCATCACCAAAAAGTGAGAAGTCCTTGACAGACTAGGCCATGACAATCAGGCCACCTAGACAATCTGTACTTCAGGGGGGTGGGTAATTGTCATATTTTGTTGGTGTTTTTCTTTTCTTTTAATGTATTTAATCTACATTCTGAATTGTTGGTAAAGTGTAATAATTGAAGCCTAAAGTCGCATGATACAGCAGCATAGCAATTATCCTCTAAGCCCAAGTGTGCTTAATATTTTTGTGTATATTGAACATATGTCATCTCCCCAGCCCTAACCAGTTTAGAAATCTCATCAGTTAGTGAGATTTTGCTGGTGAGGAGAATGGGGGGGAGGGGGGTGGAAGAGTTAGAAGAGGCGAGTTGGCGGAACCTCCAAGAAACAATGGAGCTTCACTTGCAGATGTATAGGAGTGTTGTCTAGTTTCTTGTATTTCCTGTGTCATCACTGAATCGTCCTTAAGAAGAAAGCTCTTACTTAACTTGTGATGCTGACAATGTTTTTATTCTAGTCTTTAAGTTTAGGCTAAATAGACCACATTATGCCCTGATTTGAGTTAATACAACCCTTTCTAGTGAATGGAGTTGCTGCTGCTATTCATCCCAAGGTAAAATTTGGCCCCCGGCTTGTATAACTAGACATGTGACACATGATAGAACTCATGCATCATACTTCTAGAAATATTATGCTGAATCTAATCTTCATTCCTGTCACCCCAAAAAAAGCAGGTGTACAGAGGTAGCTATTTAATACACAAGATATCTGTTACCACACCCTATGCTATATTCAATCTCCTCTGTTTGACTGCAGCAGAAGCCTCTTGTTTACATGAAAGATTTTCAGTTAGAGTGGAAATTCGAAAATCTCCCTGCTTTCTGCTTTTGAGTCAGAAAACTGCTTACCTATTGAACATTAAAAGATGCATCAGATGTTTACTTCAGACCATAAGATTACTTCCTGGTCTTGGTTTATTTAATGTTAATTTACTTGAAAATATCAGTACAAAATCTTACTCAAAAAACAAAACAGATCTTCCCTTGCTCCCCACCTTACTTGCTAATGTATGGATGAATTAACAATTTCTGAAAAAGATGCTTCCTTTGACTTGTTTTGCAGTCTCTTAAAATTGCAGTTTTTTATTACTGCTTTGTCATTGGCAATTTCTTCAATTTTTTCCCCTCTAAGGTTTTAATTTCTTTAAAGGACTGAACATTTAAGACCATGGCCCTTTCTATTGATATTTTGTTCTTGGTTTTATGTTATTTGAGGAAAAAATTGTCATGATATAGAAGCACCATTATTTCTGCTACTCTTAATGACCCTTCTGTCTGTGCTAGAGGTGGTGCTAAGCTCTGCTGAATGGTAGGAGCACCTGAAAAAAAATTAATCATATTTGGGGTTTGTATCTCTACTTCAGGAAGGTGGCCTTGCCTTCTGCAATGTTACATTTTGTTTGTTGTCTTTGTGCTGTTACTGGTAGTCAAGTGCCTTCAATGCTAAAGGCTCAGAAAATTTTCTTAAACTGACTTCATGTCCTATGCAAGTGTTTTTTCTACAACCTGCATAACCAGTACTTTGTAAAATTTGTTTACGCTTCAAATTGTACATAGTGTTTTTTTTAAAAAATAGTATTTTATTTAGGTACCTCCAAACTTGAATTCTAGTTGTGTGATGCATTGTAAAACAATACATTTCTCTTGAGTACCATTACAGTTGTAAAAAGGTTTTCACTGGTTCTATTTTTCTACTGTTGCTGAGAAGCATGTAACATGACTTGATCCTACATATAGTTGGCATTTCAAATAAATGGCTTGTATATAAAGTGCTTGAGTAGTCTTTTCAGTTTAGCCTCCTAAGACACTGGTGTTCGATATCCATCTGCATGTTCTTGATACATATCCCTGTTGACATATTGGAGGAATAGAGCATATCTTAATTACTATAACCATAGCTGTCTGAATTAGTCCTATAAAATATTGAAAATCATTACCCTGTAACAAAGGGTCTTAGAGGAAGAAAGTAGATGATAGCTGCTTTCTCTTAAAACAGAATATTTTTCTTAGACATTGCCTTGAACTTTAAGGTTATGATTCACACTAAGGGTAGTGATTTTGCTCATTAAGTAGTATTTTAGAAGTTCATTTGGTGAGTGAACTCTCCTATATAGGGCCAAATTGCTCTTACTTTATTTAGATGACTAGTCCTAATGAAGGCATGTTAGTAAGGTAACAGGATTTGGCCTTTGACCTAAAAAACATTTTAATCCTAAAGAGAACAGAACAATTGGAGAGGCATTCCCCAAACACACATTCATTTTATAGAGAATTACCTAAATCATTTAAGACATACAAACTTAATGTATCAAATTTACAGCATGGGCTTATCTAGACTTTGCAGAACAGTCAACAAAGGATATGCAAATTCTTCTTCTGATCGCACTTTTGAAAGCAGAAACCATTACCTCTACATTTTCCTGTAGCACTAAAAACTGCTACTTCGGTGAGGGCAGACATGTTATAGATCATGAAATTTGTCAGATTAGTGACCTAGACTCTGTATTTTTCCCTTGGTATTCTCAATGTACGTTACCTCTCCCCTTCCTGAATTTACTTTGTCTTGTACACCCTGTCTCAGGCTATCATTGTCATAGCTGGCAGAATGACAGCAATGAGTTGGATCCTTTAGGATTTAACTCAACGGATGTAATTTTCCACAGCCTTCTGGAACCAAGTTTTCTTCCTGCAAAAACACACTTTTGTTGCTTTTAAACAGCATCATTCTTTCTGCTACTCACACCTCTAGTTTCTTCCAAAACACAAACCTTTACTTTCAAGGTACTTTTGAATAGAAGGCAGCCTTCCACCACAGTACTACACTCATGCATCCTCCCATATCTTAAGTTAGCTGAACTGTGTTGCCAGACATTTGGAAACCAAGAACAGACCAAAGGTTTAGCTAGTGATAACTGTTTCTAAAACAGATTTCAGACTCACCATTGATGTGCTGGTGTTTGGAGATTGCAGTAAATAGTGTTGACTTGTAAGAATTTTACACACAGACTGGCTTAATAGCTTCATTTGATTAAGAAGAATCTTAATTGGTGCCCTGTCTCCATGATTCACCACTCCACCAAGGATTAACCTGGCTTTTTCCCATTACCTCTGCTAAAATGGCTTAAAATTAATGCCCTTGCCACCTCCATAATTTAGTCTCTTTCTAAACCAGGAAGAAAGCTTTAATTTTGTCCCTGAGCTTTCACTAGGCCAGGGTGTAATCCTTAGCTGATCAGCCAATAGTAGTACAAGATCAAGTCCTTTCCCAGGAAAGTTTTATTTAAACTGAGTCAGGGATCGCGGAAGCCATTATCTCATCTGTAAGGAAAAGATCTAAGATATGTGAGTATTGAACATTTGTTTTACTCCTTAAATATTTAAAAAGACTTCCTCTAAAGAAAGCTCTTAGTCAAAGGCAGTGTCCTGGGAGATCTGAATCTTCCTTAGTTCTTGCTTCATTAAGATGGACTTGCTTGATGTTACTTTTGGGGCAAAATATGAAGGTGCTATTTAAAAACCAAGTACACTTACTTGATTCTGTCACCTTCTGGTCATAGTGATTGTTTTGAGTATGATTGCACAAGGTTCCTAGTTACTGTCCAATCAGTTATCTTCCTTCCTGTTGTCCTTACCTCTGGTTTCTCTGTACAGAAGTCTCAGGACCACACGCAGGACCTTGGCTAAACACACCAACCCACCCACCCCCTTATTCCTGGGTTGAAAGACGCTGTTTGAAGTGGATGTACAAAAGTAAGTTTAAAAGCAACCATGACATTCAGGTTATCTGAACAGTAATTTTATTAAATTTTACAGAATCATTTTTGGAGTTAGTTAGGCAGGTCAACTCCAGTAACAATTTCTAAAAAAAAAAAAAGCACCTACAGGATCCAGAAATGTTGTTTTAAAAGCAACTTCTCATATCTGCCTAAAACCAATTAAATGAGTATCTATTTCTGCCCAAAGTAGGCTTTGCAAAGTTAGGCAGTCAAACAAAATTAATGGAGAGAATAGTAAAGGACAAGCTTAAAAACAAAAAAGCAGTACGTTTGATGTGAAACCAGCCTCCTGTGAAAATGCTAGCCCCCTCAAGTACTATGCGTATCAGCTTCAGATTTTAATGTTAATCCATGGAAAAAATTCACAATCTCACTTGTGGGTTTTAAACCAACTAACCTGTAAGTTCTGATATTTTAAAGTTTGGTTTTAAGGACTGCAGCTGTAGATTGAATCTTATGTTCAGTAATTACAACAGTGGTTCCAAAAAGGTCACAAGTTAGTTTATACTTCAGTAAATAGGTTTTAAAATGTTACGTTGATATATTCCTTTCTATAACATTTAAAACTAGAGTAGCTTATGGTAGGTCAATTTTTAAAAACCCCAAAGCTTAGTTTGTAACCTATTAGTATCCCACATTTAGAATTCCATTTATATTCTAGCAAGAGGATAAAACTGACACTCCATTAATGTAAGACGTTACCATACAATGAAATGAACCAAGTTTTTTTCCTACAAAATAAAAATATATTAATGCCATGCGCTGTTGATTGAAGGAAAGTCCATGATTCCTTAATCTCCTCCTACCCAGAAAACATACTCCCCAGTAACAAGGGACTTAGTCTGTGCAAGTACAATGCAATTTAAGTTCACATTATGACCCTACTTTTAAGCTGTAGTTCTCCTATGGCTACATCTACACAGCAGAGCTATTTCGGAATACCGCACATCTTCAAATGCCCCTGATTATTTTGAAATATTTCAAAATAATGGGCACACTATTCTGACATCCCTGTAACCCTCATTCCACGAGGATTAAAGGATTTGTCGAACTACTGCTTTATTTTGAAATTTGGCACTGTGTAAACAGCGCCAAATTTTGAAATGAGTTATTTCGAAATAACCTTGGAATAAGCTACACAATTTGCCTAGCTTATTTTTGAGGTAAAGGTGCTGTGCAGATGCACCCTAAGTGATTAAATGTACCTTAATGTATAGAGAATTATGTCCATTGTGCACTCTGGTTAAATATCCCAGGTCAACAGGAACCCTTTGCATCAGAAACTTTAGTACTACTGCACCCACAACAGTTACTATGGAAGTATTCAAACCAGACAAAACAACACTATACCACAGTACAGTGTACATTTATTCCTGTTTTAGAAGGCTGTCTGCTCTCATCTTTAATATGTTATATGGCTCAAGTGAAAAGGTCAAAGGCTAAAAAGGAAACAGTGGCACAAGCTGTTTTAACAAGGACCAACCAATTCACTCCCTCTGAAACCAAACCAATTTATGATAACTGTTAAATATACTGACACTGTACAAAATGTGCATGATAAGTTGCTATGCAAGACACCTCTGCATCTTAGAGACCTGTATTAAGTTGCAAAAGTAAGAAGCATTTTATGGAACAGAATGAATGAGTACAGTTGGAGGAGGCTTCTTGAAAAGCAGGATTGGGGGGGGGAGGTCAAATATTAGCAAAGGTGCTGTTTCTGTTAACTGAAGGATAGCTTTTTCCATTTGTCCTTAATGAAAGTTAAAGCTTTTTTCTAACTGCAGTAGTACTGCATCCTATTTGTCCGTCTTCTCTTGCGTGACTGAAATTCTTCAAAGAATTGCTGAATGTCTTCTCTTTTAACAACCTGAGAATAAAATGAAACTCAAATTGTAATAAACTAGTAAAACAACATATCTGGAAAAAGGACCAAATGACTTAAGTACTACATGAGAGAAGTTTCTTAGAACAGTATTTGCAATACACGCCACACTGATGTAAAAAAATGTTTTTTTAATTGTATTTTTTTCTATAAAATATTGCATAGTTGGTTATAGCTTACTGTTCCATCATCTGCAAATCTCCTGAGATATTCAGTCAGTTCTGTCTTTAAGTCGTTGTATTCTGGAAGAAAAAGTGGGGAAAATATTAGTCTCTGCTTCAATGATTGTTTGCTATTCTCCCCTCTTGACAACTAGTACTGACACAACTTGCCTCAGTAAAAAAATTTTGAGGTTGGATTATAAATTAATGCACTGAGGGAAAAGATTTAAGATGGTTCTTAAATCTGTGTGTCCATCAACTCTAACTTCACTTTGACCAGAAGCTGCTAATTGTTAAAGCGGTAAGCAATGGTGGCTTGTGACTAAGAGGCACAAATCATAGTAGTTATATTCACCATCATACAACAAATAATAGTTATGATTAAATACACAGAAAAGTGCAGAGAAAGAATAAGAATTCCAAATAAAACACAGGTGAGACATTTTCATATTAATTAAAGCTGGTTTGTTAAACTCCCAAACAAACATTGTTCCGCTAATTTCATATGCCTCTGCTATAACTATTGTCAAGATTCAAATAACCTGCAGTCACTAAAAAGTATAGACCCATCACCTGAAAAACTATAAAAGTAACATTAGCGCTTTAAATACCATTTATAAAACCTTTTTTAAAGCAGTTTAAGTCAACCGGCAAATCAGAACCTAACAATTACATTGTTTAGTAGTATATTTGCTTTAAAAACAAATACAATATCAAAAAATCATTCAAAAAGTTTCATAGCAAGAAAGTTCTATGGCCATTAAAGGACATAAGCTTGCCGTCTTCATCTAGTAAAGATCAATATATATTTATTTTAAGATCACCAGATTGGTTACTTCTCCAGGAAAGACAGCAATTCTTTTTCAATGCATAGTGTGGCCAGTGCACTAAGACAACCCTGTTCCACTCTGTTCTTCAAGTATGTCTTCACTGGTTTAAGGCAAGAAAAGCTTCTTTTCACACTCACTGTTGTTGGGATAGTGGCAACTAAGCAACCAAAAAAAGGTACACTTCCTTAAGTACCTCACAGAGCCCAATTTAATTGACTTCCTGCAGCATGTTACTTACAGAATGATTCTGAAACTGCTCATCTTTGAAGATGACACCATCTAAATCAAAATAACTGCCATAAGAACTGGAGAGGAAGTAAAAGCATCTGTACAGAACTATTTGCTGAAAGCCTGAAATCTGGATGAGTCTGACAGCTCAATAAAGCAGAGGGTCTTTGTCTATAAACCTGAGACACAGCTGCAGAACAAGGATTTCATTGTATAGCTGTAAATACGTTTGCTGATCATCTTCAGAGAATCCATCTTCCAAATCCAGCCTATAGTTTTTTGGAGGTGGAGGTAAGTCAGTGAGGGTAAGGGCTACTTAAACACCTCTTTCAATATCTCTTTTTTATGCAGATCTCCAATCCTTGTGACTGTTAACTGCACTTACAAATTGCAATCTATATCAATGGCTTTTTTTTCTGAAGAACACCATTGAGAAGGTCAGTGATGCTGAAGATGTTATGGTAAAGAGTATGCCAAGAAAAGAAACTGGAAGTCCTTTAGTTTGGTATGGTATTCTGTGGCTTGCCGCTGAGATTCACCATCCCAACCAGCAGCATTGACAATTTCCTGAAATACTTTGCATAGCTTCTCTCTTTCTGAGACCATGGTATGTAGGACTCTACTGTTGGCTGTCCTTCGAAGTGCACATAGGAATGGTATTTATCCAACAACACGATCCAACAGTTCAGTGTTTGCTTGTGTGTAAAAAAAAAAACAAACATGGAGAAGCCTTCCAAGGTTGCAAAAATGCCATGGATTTCTTTAACACATTGCGCCCCTTGCTAGAGAGCTAGATCTAATTTGAGGGCAACACACCGCACAAATAGAGCTTGTTAGGGCTTGCAGACCCTGCAGCTCCCCAGCAATCATTATAGTGCTATCATATGAATAAGACATAAGTTTTCTTTTGCAGTTGTATTTTAACACTGACTCCACAAGCTGTTTCAAATCAACTGCCTTTTCATCTGCACTGCCATTTTTAACGCCTATGAGCTGCTCCTGTGTTTGCCCCTTCTGAAACGCGTGAAAGTTGGCTCGAGAGAAATATCAGTAGTTTCATCTACTTTTGAAGAGTGCAGCCTTTTACTTGTAATCTCATGATTATTGTAAAATATCATTTCCTCAGCCACACATTTGATCAATTTCTTTTGAATTGTCTGTGATAAGTCAGAAAAAATCGATGCTGTTTTCTGTCGATAAATATTCACTTGTAATTGAGGAAAAAATAATCAAAGTTCCCGGAGGTTATACTCCATTTTACAATAGCAATGGAATTAAAGATCCTGACGAGATAATTAGTTGCTTCAAAATCTCTGTTCTTCCTGTCTTTCTTCTTGTGCTCTAAGATAGCAAGGCAGCTTTACTCACAAAGCAATACAGCTATAGGAATGCTTGCCTGCTCCAAGCCTTTCAAGGAAACTTCATTTTTATGTGCTCTTGGATGAGCTGTATATAGACGTCCTTTGTGACAGATTTTTCTAGTCACAGTACCCTTCATTAGCCCCCTTTTTTTAGCTGGAAGAAGCAACAAGGGCCAACAATATAATCCATTACTCACAGAGCTGCCTGTTAGCCATTTATGGACTTTGTACCAAAATGTCAAACTGCCGTATTCTTTTCCGGTCTTTCTTCAAGACTTCCAGTGCTGGTGGTGTTCTGCCTTTTTTAATGACTGAGCATCTCTCTTCTTGAGAACGTAATGAAAATCCTTTTTCCTCAGGTGATATAAAGTGTCATTTTCTACAAAAGCCATTACTGAACATTTTAAAATCTTAGATTCCAAACATGTGACCAAGGTCAGAACTGGCCTTAACTGCTACACTCTGTCATGGCCTCAAACAATGGTTACTAGAGCAACACCTTTATAAACTGACTCAGTGTGGTAAAATGGCATGGTTATCAGGCAGCTTCTTGAGGCACTATCATCTTTAGTGAGATTTGAGCCTCATGCAGCACTACATTTGGTGATGAGTTTTCGTATTGTACAGTGAGTTGTGAAAGATTTAAATCTAATCACAAGCACTTCCTGTGGAATCATGTTAACTTATTTAAAATACAGATTTTCGAACAGTTAAGTATATAATCAATTTGATAATAAATAATATGCAAAATGCATCTTGTAACTTTTGGGAATTCTTGGTTAGGCTGGGCTGACTAGCTGGCTGGAAAGCAAAGTGCTATCAACACTAATGAGAAATCAGAACATGGGAGGCAGATTCCATTTCTGGGACTTGGCAATTCTTCATCTGAGTCCACTGTTTCCTTACCAGATTTACAGTGCACCTGCCCACAGCAAACTACATACAGCAATCCGCACCTTTCTGAATGAGAGTTAACTGAACAAGAATCAAGCAATTTAATCTGTTCCTGTTAATTTTAAAACAAACACTAATTTTTAGGTGGATCCAAACAAGACAACATTCTCTGGGAACACTCCTATGCCTGGCATTACCTACTGATGTTCCCTACCTAAGGGAATTCTTCTCTGCCTAAATGAACTATCTTAAAGGAGCATGTTAAGGACCTTTAAGCAAACCTGATAATCAAGTCTTATACATACATCAGTATTAGCTGTTCTTTATACGAAGTGAGCTTCATTGTTCAATCCCTCAAGGATTTATTAGCTGAAATTCTGCTCTGAAGTACAATACAGTCACACTGGTGGTACATTGTGTTCTTCAGAAAAGAGGCAAGAGTGAGAGATACAATTGACAAAGTTGTCCATGTAGGTGTAGGAGTCCCAATTTATGACTCAGGCTTGTTGGCCCTATGTCAGGGGTGGGCAATAATTTTTGGCCAGGACCCACATCAAAAATTTTTGAAGTGGCCCCAGGCTGCCCCAGGGTGCCCCAGAAAGGGTAGAACCAGGATGCTTCTTGGCTTCTCCAGCAGCAGACCATGATTGGTCTGGGGGTGGGAGAACACCTTTGCTCCCTCCCTTCCCACTAGGCACCCATGCCCCTGGCAGGACCGGAAGAGGCTTTGCACGTTCCCCCATACCAAGGCTAATCAGGGGCTGGGAGCAGAGGAGTTGCACGAAACTTCCTTCACCCTGTTCTGCACGAGCATACAGCACTTTGAAGTGCCGCTCCTCACAAAGCAGGGCAGGGGAAGGCGGCGTAATCTTTGTACTCTCTGCCTGCCCCCAAGCCAATCAGGGCTTGGGTGCAGGGGAAGTGCATGGCGCTTCAAAGCACTGCATGCTCCTGGCAGGGTGGGAGGAAGCTTCACGTGCTCCCCTAGCCAATTAGGCCATGGGAGTGACAGGGCCTTGGCAGGCCGAATCTGGCCTGCAGAGGCCCTTCTGCCTACCCCTAATGTATATGCTCAAATATATCGGATACAGTTCAGCTTCTTGTTGAGGGACTGATGCACCATTTTTCAAATACTTTCATCTTCATATCTATAGACACTGGATTAGAGTTTGTGTCTAGTCCACAGAGAATACAACATCATTAGGAAATTCCATCTGCTCCAAAGCTGACAGCCACCTGACAAAATAATGTATATAAGAAGTAACTAAACGACTGCTTGACTTCCTCATTTATTCCTACTGCTTGTCACTCTTACCCTTCCCTACCTATTATCTACTTACGTTGAAATAAGTTTCCCGTGCTGGGCAGGGCAATTATATTTCCACTGTTCAGTCTATCTACGTTCTATATGAACACAGAAAAAGTTAATATTAACATGTCAACTTTTGAAAAGGAATTCCCATTACCAGAACACAGCCAACCTGCTGAATTATAAATCAAGCAGAAGCTTCTACACCATCTGCTTCCTTAATATAAATAGCAACAATTACGAACAGGCTGGAGACAAAAGAACTCAAGGTTTTCTACAGAAATATTTCTGGAGATTAAACAGTCAGCTTATAAAACTGTTGCTATTTAAGTAAGAAGTCTGTTAAATATCTCCTTTAGGTAAGATACATATTTAAAATGCTGTGTTCAATTCTCAGAATGAAGTTATATTTACCACAGATGAGTTCTACTTGCTGGACTCTGTTCATGCTATTAAGAGTGTCCATTAAAGGATCTCTTCGGTCTGTTTCCTGGTCACTTGTACCTTTATTCTCATAGGCCAAGACAGTGTCACATTCATCAATCAGGAATTGGACATCCAGTTCTGAATACATTTTCTGAAGATAAAAGTAAAAGTTATTTTCCATCTTATAAACTTTACAGACCATCTGCCATCCTTTCAAGCCCTCTCCCAAAGAAGTAACATTTTAGCAAGTAATTCAGCCACTCATGAATGCTTCCAGAACTGTGATTACTATAGATAGTAGGTAAATAAACACAATTTTTCACAGGCTATTTTATACTATTAATTCTGAAGGTGAGAGAGTCATCAGATAAGATCCACACTTGTTTCCTTAGCTTAGTGGAATGTCTTCCAGTAGATATTTTATATTTAGAACAAGGAAGTTATACAGATTGTATTATGTATTGACTTCTCTCAATAGTCTTGAAGAATCTAATGTAAATATTAGCCTAAAAAACAAAATGTATACATACTAAACAGTCTTTGCATGTGCACAATTTACTCCGCCAGTTTGATGGCCAAAAGGTGGCAGTATCCTTCTTCAGAGATTGCATGGTCTGGAGTTCTCGCAGTTTACAGACTGGTTCATCACTTTTCAAAACAGTCTGAATTAAAATGAAACAAGTCAGTGTTTCACAATTTTATTTCAAAGGGATTTAATTCAAGTTTTTCTAGCTTCTTTCCTTACTTAGCTACAATACTGTACTGCTTTTATTTTTTAAAGGTCCTTCATATGATGCTTAGAGTAAAGGTTGTATTAGAACACTGCTGTATACCCAGCAGAATCAACTAAAATTGCTAATGGCATTCATACTCTAAATTCATTGATTCTTCTTCTTATAAATCAGCATCAGATTTAATGCAAAAGCAGTGTAAAGGGTTCAGAAATCAGATCTGTGCTAGCCTGATGACACAGTTGTAATGGGTGGTACCCTCCACATTAGAAAGATAAATTTAGAAGTGATCTCAGGTTACTTAAGCAACAAAATGGAAGACATCAGAGGAATGGAAGATATTTGCTGAGGATACTGTATGCCTGAAATTAAACCTTTTATATCAGTATTTATTGGCATGTCAACTACAGCAAAGGCTGTACTGGAACAGTCCCTATTCAACACTTGTGTATTTAATTAAATTTACTATTAAAAGAGTGTGGAATGTGTCTACACTAAGTAGAGGGGGAACATAAGATAGTAAGAAAAATGTGTGGTTTACCTCTGGGCATTTAGACCCAGAACTAGTAGATGGCTCATTAAATTGTTCTACTTGCTCCTCTTCCTTGATCTTCCCTGGATGATCTCCACTTTCCTTTTTGATTTCTCTTTTCTGTTCTTCAGATTCCTTGACATTCAGTACAATCTTTTCATCTTCAAGTGATTTCACTTTAGTCACAGTAGGAACTAGAAAATGCACGTCCATAACATAAGCTTGCCAGACAGTTTCAGAATTTTTTTACTTAAAACTGTAGTGTCATAGACATGCTCAAACTTCACGGTACATTTCAATAAAAGCAAGATTATATTCTAGAGCTATCTGGGTATATTATGAACTCAAACAATAAAAAAACTGCTTAATGTTTTATCATAGTTCCCTCAGACCTGTCTACACCTAATGTCCCAAAATAATGTTACCATGACAAGTCTCAGTTTATTTTTATTAACTGAATGACTGATATAAACTTCTTAAGTCCTTTGTGCCGTCCCACTTCCAAAGCAGAAAAGAAAACCCTCATTGTCCTTTCAATCTGAAAGCCTGGGCTGTGTCTAGACTGGCCAGTTTTTCCAGAAAATCAGCCGCTTTTCCGGAAAAACTTGCCAGCTGTCTACACTGGCCGCTTGAATTTCCACAAAAGCACTCACTCCTACTGTAAGAAATCAGTGCTTCTTGCAGAAATACTATGCTGCTCCCGTTCAGGCAAAAGTCCTTTTGCGCAAAAGGGCCAGTGTAGACAGCTCAGATTTGTTTTCCACAAAAAAGCCCCAATCACGAAAATGGCAATCGGGGCTTTTTTTGTGGAAAAGCGCGCCTAGATTGGCACGACGCTTTTCCGCAAAAAGTGCTTTTGTGGAAAAGCATCCATGCCAATCTAGACGCTCTTTTCCGTGAAAAGCATTTCCGGGAAATCATGCCAGTCTAGACGTAGCCTTAGACTCTAGAATTTATTGGAAAGTAATGGAGAAAATGGGGGGGAGGGGCTGGGGTAGAGGAAGAAATGCCATGATCTCATAGTGCTAAACATTCCTATTATGCTAGTCTTCCTTTGGGTTTCTGAAATTAATTGATATTTGCAAAAGGCTGGATGGTAGCCAGATACTTTCTCCAATTTTATTTTAGCATATTTTATGCCTGATTCACTCTTTAAACTTTATTTTTTTAAGACTAACATATGGCAGAAACCAACAAAATATATTTAATGCATTATAAAATACCTTTTTAGAATATTTACAGACGTCTTTAAGACAACAAAAAACAATATGGGGGGCTGTCTGCACTGGACGCTTCAATTTGCGCAAGAGCACTGACATTCTAATGTAAGAATTCAGTGCTTCTTGCACAAATACTTTGACGCTCCCGCTCAAGGATAAGCCCTCTTGAGCAAGAATACTTGCGTAAGAGGGCCAGTGTAGACAGGCACCTTAATTTTGTGCGCAAGAAAGCCTGATGGCTAAAATGGCCATCAGAGCTTTCTTGTGCAAAAGCTCATCTATACTGGGCATGGATGCTTTTGCGCAAAAGCACTTTTTGCGCAAAAGCATCCATGCCCATTTAAGACGCTCTTTTGCGGAAATACTTGTTTTTCCGTTAAAAGCATTTCCGCAAAATCATGCCAGTCTAGACGCAGCCCATGCTGTGTGAATGATAAAATATTCTCCTAGTTTACAGAGATTTCTCAAAAAACAGACTTTTAAAAAATAATTTGTCCACATATAATAAAGTGCCATTATTAATCCATTACAAATAAAATTAAGCAATCTTACATAAGCACATTGCTCTCAAGTCCTGGAAAATTCTGGAGCATGAAACACATGACTGCTGCAGCTTAGAACACTGCTTCTTCCTAAGTCTCAGAGGAGTAGCTATGTTAGTCTGTAACTTTAAAAAATGAGTAATCCTGTGGCACCTTGGGCCTGGTCTACACTATGGGATAAATTCAAATTAAGATATGCAACTTAAGATAAGCAATTATCATAGCTGAAGTGGAAGTATCTTAATTTGTATTTCAGTGTTGCCCACACTGCGGGAAGGCGAAGGGAGCACATTCTCCCTTGGGCTTCTCTTACTCCTCACGGAAGCAGGACTACTGGCAACAATAGGAGTGCCCTCTTAGTTCAAATTAGCCTGTCTTCATACAATCTGCTAATTCGAAATCCTGCAAGATCAACTATGGCTGCTTTGATCTTATCTGTAGTATAGAAACTAACAAAAATACAAAGTATCATAAGCTTTTGTGGGTAAGACCCACTCCCTCAGTCAGTTTGTCTGTCACCAGGACAGCTGAAACTGTCAACATAACTTTGTAGAGTGGGTGATTAACCAAAGTGATCAAACATTTCATTGTAAGCATCTGTACAGAGGCTCTTTATTTCATTGGTATTTTAACAGGGGAAAGGCTTGGTCATCTCTTCTAAGCAATCTTGGGAGATATAAAAGTATATAGACCTACCCTAGCTTCCTTCATGATTTAATGAAGCAATCTTAGCACCAAAAGTGTGTTATGTAACGGATTTACTACTTGTGCATGCTCCATGCTAGGGATGTAAGACTAGTTGACGATCTGATAAGCAGAAGCTTATCACTAGAAGTCAACTAGTGATGCAACTAATCGCTTCCCCCACTTGCTGCCTCTATCGGGGGAGGGGAGCAGGAGCTGGTGGTGGTGGAAGCCAGCTTAAAAGCAGGTTCCTCCCCAGCACCATCTCCACTGGAGGCAGGGGAGGTAGAGGCACAAAAGAAACGGGTCAAGAGGGGACTGAAGCAGTCTCTGCTTACGCCGCTTCTGCTGCAGCTCTGCTTTTGAAATGTACAAGAACTCCAGCAGGTGTATATTTCTAAAGCAGAAGCTCCCACAGGGAACATGGGGCCAACAGAGAAGTTCCCTGCTGGTCCTGCGCTCCCTGCAGGGCTTCCTTTTGAAATGTACAGGAGCCACCTCCAGAGTCCATTCAATCCTACTCCAACGTCATCTCTCCCCCAACTCTATTTCTCCCCACCCAATGTTGTCATATCTTTTTGGTAGTTTTGATTTAACCTAGAATGTAAATTCCTGGAGAGCAAATATCAAGTCTTTATGCAATGTTTGCCATAAATACCTATGGTGAGAAAACAAACATATAAACTACTCTCAAAATTAAACAAAAAACAAGATTTTAATAAATTTAAGAATTAGGCCTTTTTTTTCTTCAATAAAACACAAAACCTAAAGTTGCCACATAAGCTACTTTATTGCCTGAGGTTTTTATTTAAATAGCTAACAGTTTCTTCAGCCTTCTCAAAAATATCTGTATTCTACTTGTATATGATTATGCGAGTTAAATCAGCTACATGTGGGAGGTTTATATAATAGAAATAGTAGTACAAATCTCCTAATTTTACCTGCTAACTGCGAAGTATAGGCCCAAAGAAAAGCACAGGAATTCATGCAGGTCTGGCACACCATCTCATGGAAGTCCCCACTCTCAGGGGGAACTGTACCAAGGTGCTGTCCAAAAGAAATAAGAACACATGACAGAGATATATTAGTTGCAACTTAATGAATTCTACAGAGTATTTTTTCCTCTAGTTTTAGTGGCAGAATAAAAAAACATCATGCGCACCTCTACCCTCATGTTGTCAGTATTCTCATTATAAGTCTCTTATCTCCCATACCCAGCATCCATAATGCTAGAAGATGAGGATCAATAAATTTTAAGAATTTATCCAGATTATTAGCCTCTTTTCACATGTCAACCCCCCCACAAAGTCTGGACTAAGGATGTAACTACCTAGTAAAAATGTTAACCGGTTAAATGGTTAACCATAAAGGGTGAGTGGGCCCTTTGCTTTCAAAGTAGTTCATTGGCGTGTTGCTGAAGATTATAAAAATCACACATATAAAAAAGTGACACCCCCCCCCACCACCACCTCAGGCTGCCATTGGGAAAGGTGTACCAGTTTAATAGGCTGCATTGGTCCCCATAAATCCTAAGGACATCCCAACATGAGGCTGCAGGTGAGCTTTTGTTTATACATAAGGATGGTCAGAAGTCTGGATGTTTGTAACACAGAGTACCTGTATTTCCATATCTTGTCTATCCCTAACAGGACAGCTACCAGACAATAGTTTTAAGTAGCCTTATTTAGTAATCCGAGACTTTTTCCTTGTTTAACAAGTTTTATAAAACATTGTATCCTTCAGCTTCAGAATGAGAGGAAAGTGAAAATGATTAGATACAAAATCGAAACAGAGGATTAAAATAAATTACCTCCATTTTCTTTTGACAAATTGTAACACTATCTAGTTAAAGCTAGAACATTCATCAAAATACTTAATATCTAATAAACATTATATAGAAAAAATAATCCTATAATTTTACTCAAAGTCAAATCAAGTTACAGTAATCAACAATAACTATTTCACATCTTTGTTCCAGGACTTGCAATCATGGTACTTGCTTCTATCTAGTTTACAATTTCCCCATCTAAGAACTCCCTAATCCTGCATAAAAAAGGGGATTTTCAAAGGCAACAATGGCACCTAGGCACTGAACTCGACTTGCTTTCAATGGTAATTGGGTGCCTTGATGTCCATTTGCCTTACAAAAATCTATCCTAATGTATCTAATCAGATACTGACTGTGCAGCTTATTCCTTTCCTCACTAAAATATATATGACTAAGTTAATGTCCCATCAAAGGAGCTTCCATTCACCACATATCATAATCATGGTTGATAATGGTGTGCTTAACAATCTTCTTCTCCAGTTCCAATGAAACATTAACATTCATAACACAGTCTTCCATAAAACATTAAAGTTTAGACATGTATAAGGATTAGTTTAGGCAACCCTGAATAAAGCAGAGATTCTTCTTCATTTTAGGTACTAGCTCATTATAAGGATTGCCAATATGCAAAAACAAATATTTAGTCTTTTTCTTACAGCCTAAAAAGAGCTAATTTGAATGTTCTTGCACTACTTCAACGATTCCTCTCTACCTTTTCAAGTAAGTTTTACCATAAGGAAAACACCAATTTTAGCCTATTTCCATGCAAGATGACAATATTGTTATATACATATCCTTACCCTTCCATGGAACCAGTCTTCACAAACTATGCACTGGATCATTTCATCTGGGATCTAGAAGTATGGTTATAAATAATATCAATCTTTAAAGTTTCTCATGGGCTTTTAAAAGCAGTGTATTCTGATGAACATACAAGTAAAACACTTTCCACAGTGAGACACTTAAATTGGATGGCCATTACAAATACTTACCGCCTCAGCCAAAGTTTCGAAGAACTTGTAATTTGTTGTAGTCTGATAACTAGTGTGTCCCATTATCTAACAAGATTTTTTCATTATTGCCAGATATGCTATGTAACATTCTACAACCCAAAGGACCGGGATTTACCACAGGAATATTGTACGTTATATAAAAGTATGCCTTAAAAGGTATCATTCTAAAAATCTTGATCTGCTAAACATTAATATTTCATTGGATAGTATGTGCTGTCATATCTATAGTTATGAAGTTTTGCTACATGTGTGTTACTGAAAGATGTAGAGAAGCTGAAAATTAGGGTGGGTAAAAAGATAATTTAAAAAAATAAAAAGTGACCACTGTATGTTTTATATTGTGTTGTAATAGAAATGAATATATTTGAAAATGTAGAAAAAAATCCAAAAGTATTTAAATGGTGTTTTATTCTTAACAGCACTGTGAACTGCACAATTAATTTTTAATCACTTAATAGCCCTATTTTTTGTCATTCATTTCTTAGAGAGTGTGTTTCTAATTAAACTATCTCAAGAGTTTAATAATTTTAGGATGTGAGGGGAAAATTATGCTTTATTTGTGGATAGGGAACTAGCTCTTCATTTAAGTTATGAATGGGGAAACAGCATTATTTTATTTCCTATCTTTCTAATCTATCTTCAAGGCAAAATATTCTGTACTCGTACAACATTATGCAAATGCAGACTAAATACGATTAACAAAAGTAACACACCAGGTAAGATCTCTCTATGAAGATAGAAATCCATTCTATGGGAGAATTTGAGGACCGTAGTTCTACACAGAAAAAAAGTTTGTGCACTGTATCCATAGCATTTTTACTGACTGTGCATTTCTTACCTCATCTTCAGGATCAGGATAAGGTCTTTCACAAACACAGTATAATCCATAGAAGTTGTGATTATATTTATTGCCTGAATTCACTTTTCCCTTTTCCTAAAACAGAATATGTTTTAATGTACAGTATGGTGAAAAAACATGACCATTCAGAGACTGTGTAACTGAAGATAATTTTTGTCCTATTCTAATCTCCTAAGAGATAACCCACATGATGTCCTGCTACAAAGAAAATATTAACCTTAAGTGCCATTGACTAGTCAATTAGTCAATAAGTGGGGGAGCCACAGCAGTTTTAGCTCCCTGCCTTGGGAGCTAATCCTACTGTGGCTCTGCCTTTTAAATGTATTAAGAGCCTGCAAGTACCCACACCAAGTATAGGTTCTGCAAGTACCCACACCAAGTATAGGTTATAATTTACCCATTTTAAATTTAGTTCCTTCAAAATCAGTTCCTAGCTTAATATAGGTAAGTCTTTGTACAGAAGAAAGCACAAGTAACTTCCCTCTTACTCTGAGAAGCAAAAGTACCATCTAGCATTAATCTTTAAGTCAAGATAGCAATGTTTAAACTTACCGGAAATAACTTGCACTGCAAATTTTTGAATTTGCTGTTGCCACAGTCACAGCGGAAGTTTCTGGAAAGAAAGATATAGCATGAATAGTTTGAACTGCTATCTTAAAATTAAATGTTTTGTTATTTACAACTGTGAAACGCTCTAACAAGCTATTTAAACAAAAACATATGTGAGAATTTGTTAGGCAGTCTTGAACCCTTATCTCCTACTGAGGTCCTGTTAGATCTCAGCCAAGCAATGTTGAGTTACATCAGTATCTAGTTTGGGAAACCTCAGTGAAAGATGTATTTTTTTGCTGCTGTAATTACTCACATACATAAAAGCAAGCACATGTGTTATTGTTTGCAAGACTGGGATCTAAGACAGCTGGATGTCACAAGAGTCTGTTCTATTGGAGATACCATCTTTTGTATGAGATATGCAACTGAACTCCTTCACACTTAGGATAATTCAAAATCACAAAAATGAAAGTATTAAGAGGGGTATTAGCTGGGGTGCTTTGCAAAAATTCTCCTTTAGGCAATTAGTCTACCTATCAAAGATTCAGTTTAAATATGTTCTGATGATAAACCTCAACTAATATTTTTCTTCATTTAATTTGTACTGTTGGATAGTAGCATTGTGCTTTGTTGAACAACCATTATGTTCTACCCTGGATGTGGCAGTATGCCTGTGATTAGTGATGTGAAACCTACGCATTTTATTTGACTGAGATGGAACTGGGGAGGCCTTATGATTTAGAAAGCATAAAGCATGTAAGCAAGAACACTTTATAATGTAACAGAGAAGCACAATCTATACTTTGAAAATAAGTTTTTTTGGGATCAAAGCTGTTGTTTTTTCTGAAACCCATTCTCCCCAAACCACACAGTAATATAACGAAAGGACCCAACTGTGCTGCGCGCCACCTCAGAGTGTTCTCTGCCTCTACAATCAGCAAATGTTTTCCACTGCACAGATTAACATTAGGGATGTTAAGGAGCATGTAATTCATTAATCATGTAATCGACAAAAAATTTGCAATGACACAATTAATTGATAAAAGTTAGCATTGCAAGCACTCAGTGCCAACTTGTGCCAGGTTCTGGCAACTACCCCTGCTGTGGCTCTGCATTAGAATCACTTTAAAAGATAGCACGTGGGCAGGCTGGCTCAGTTCCAGTTCGGGCAGGGTCCCAGCAACTACAGCAGCAGGAGTTGCCAGAACCCAGCGCCAGTCGAGCCTGAGCCAGCCTGTTGACCAGCCCGCTAAAAAATGTACTTGAAGAGCCAGGGGAGTGAGAAGAGGGAATTGCATGTAGCCAATAGCATTAACAGATAAGGACCTGCTTATCAGGTAACTGTTTAATTGACTACACTGTTACATCCCTAATTAACACCCCTTTAAGAAGATAGGTATTTAGCATTAATGCACAGAGTGCTTTTTGGTGTGATGCATTATTTCTTCACAATGTCAAATAAAGAGAAAAGTGTTTTTTAAAAAAAAGACAGTGAAGTCTCCCCTCGCTGAAAAAGCTTTACCTTTTTGTATATAGTTCAAATAACTTGTGTGTGCCATGACATTCATAACTGCAAGCTAAACAGATCCCTGCTGGTTCTTCTCCTGGTGGAGTGCAAGTACTGCAGGCATACAAGGCTTGTCTTTTTACAGCACCCTACAAAAACAAGATATATGACTATAGGAAATACAGAGAAGTGCAGAAATAATTTACTATAGACAAAGTAGTAAATGCAGTTTGTGTCCAAAGAATTGGATTTATAAGCAGGTCAGTGTTTGCTGGCCAAACTAACACAGGGTGCAAAACACAGACATTTACAGGTTGGTCCTCTCAGGACCTGACCAGTCCTGAACAAGCGGATTTGCCAGACCAGGGAAAGCCCCTCCCCTAATGCCTCATACTGCCCTGCAGCTCCCAGAGCTAGGGCTCTAACCTGGCCCTGCTGCTGCCCAAACCCCCCGGGGCTCTCTAGCTGCCCCCAGTTCAGCTGCTGCATGGCTCCATGGCCAGGACCGGGGCTCCATGGCCACTTGGCTCTGCAGCCGGGGTAGGAGCTGGAGCTGCCTCTCTGCCACTAGCCGAGAGGCGGGGGGGCTCCAGCCACAGCCAAAGAGCACTGGCCCTAGTCACGGAGCCAAGCAGCTGTGGAACTCTGGCGTCAACAAATGAGTTCTGTAACCACTTGACTCCGGGGCCACGGCTGGAGCTCTGCAGTTGGGGCCAGAGCTCCATGGCCACAGCTAGGCTGGAGCCGCCCAGCCACTGGGGTCAGAATTCCCCGCTGTGCCGCACTACCTGCCCCCCAACACAGGAACCCAGTCTGAGTCACTACCATGCTCCTGCTCCGCCGCCAGACCTCCCTGTTCCTGGGCTGACCTCTGAATAGACCTTTAAACTGAGATAGATCGGGATAAATGCAGCAAAGATATATTTTCTATCTTTTCAAGACGAGGCTCTTGCACTATGTGACATATATTGACTGACGTGAAACAAGCCCTATATTTGGAAAAAAATCGGGAATGTGAAACTATGGGTTTCCTATAGTTCAGAGCCAGGCAGTGTGCTCTGGACTGCAAGTCCTCTATTTACCAACAGAGTATGGCCTAAAGCAGTGGTCCCCAACCTTTTGGGGCTGGGGGGCGCCCGGGGGCGGCACCACATATGCGCCGCGCACCTGGAGGCGCCAGCCATGCATACGCCCAGGGCAGGGGCCGCACATGCGCTGCACACCCAGGAGACCACACATGCGCTGGGTGCCCGGAGTGCAAGAATGGCTCAGTCCAGCCCTGGTTACTAGGTGGGTGCACATAAATGCCCCCGCAGGCACCGCATTGGGGACCACTGGCCTAAAGGTCAGATATTGATGGTTTGTTTCCCACCAATGACCATCACATAAAGGTAACTGGGCAATAACTACAGTCCCTCTGCCCCAAAGAGATTCTCTCTTTAGTCCTGCTTTGCTACTGAGCTTGCCACAAAGGGGAACACTGAGTGAGAGGCAAAGGGCTCCCTAAGCTTGGCACTTGCTGGGCTCTGGGTCAACGCCCCCCCCCCCCATTCTAACGGCTCCTAAAGAAAGCCAAGGACTAGCCCTAACCGCCCTCCTTGCCTCGCGACCTCACCGCACACTCCACTAGCTACAGCCCACTCCGCCCCCACCCACCGACCCCCACCTGTTCCTCCCAGACCACCGACCTCTGCCCTGTTGCCTTAGGCCGCACTGAACCCCTTCCACTGGCTTCCTCACCACCCGCCCCCAGACCTGCCGCTCCCCGCGAAGGTGCCTTAGCCCCGGCTCCCGTCCCTCCGCTGCCGCTCAGCCCCGAGCCTCTCTCCAGCCCGGCCCCGCCCCCTCACCTGGGAGTAGCTGCAGCGCTCGTGGTCGCTCCCACCCAGCACCGCCCGCGCCTCCTTCTCGAGCTCCTCGTTCTCCGCCAGCACATCGGCCAGGGAGACCACGGGCTCCTCCGGGGCCCCCGCGCAGCCGCCAGCCGGCTCAGCGCCCCCGGCCGCAGCCTCCAGCGCGGGACGGGCCGAGACAGAGACGGCACAAGGCGGGAAACGAGACCCAACGCTAGGGGTCGCCACAACGGAAGCGGAACTGCCCGCATACCACGTGATCCCGGAGCCCGCAGGACGAGGGGTTGGTGCGTGATACGGACAGATAGAGACAGCAACAAAGTCACAAAGGGTGGGGGCGGAGCCGGTTAGTACCACGTGTCGGGGGTAGACACGTCATACGTGACAACCCCGCGAGAATTTGATGGCGCGCGATTCGATGAGGTTCTTGGCGGGTGTGGGGGGGGGAGTTTGAAGGGATCGTTTCCTCGTGGGCGGGTGCGTCCTGAGGGCTTCCGGGTTAGGGCCGATAGGATGGATTCCGATTGGTCGGCTCCGCTGCCGCTCTCCGCCCCTTAGGCCGGGTTGCGGGCATGGAGCTGCGGGCGGAGCTGACCGGGCGCGACGGACAGAAGCGGCCGCTTTGCGTGCGCTGCCAGCCTGAGGCCGGCGCCGGCGGGGAGCTCCGGGGGCTGCTGCGCGGCCTTTCCCAGCTACAGGAGCAGGTCACGGCGCTGCTCGCGCCCCTAGTGGAGCAGGAGAGCGGACGGCTCCCGGGGGCGGACACCGGAGCGGGGCCGCAGGGTGAGTGACGCGCGAGCGGCGCCTGGAGTCAGTGGCGGGGCTGGGTGGCTCCGAGCGCCGGGTGCGAGGGGAGCCTAGTGTTCGTGAGGGAGCCGGCTCCACTCTCCGGGGGCTGCCCGGGGAGACGCGTGTGTCCGAGGCAGGGGGTGTAACTGCGCGGCGCCCTCTTTTGACTCAGACCTCGGGTTTTCTGCCCACGGGTCAGGGGCTTGCACCGGCTCTCCTCCCCCCCCCCTTGCTACATGCGAGGGCGCAGAAGGCTGGAGAATCAACTAGATTATTCTGTTCCAACAATAGAAAAACCAGCGAAACTATTGAACCTTTTCCACAAGAGTCATTTCTAGAGGGTCGGAGCTATCACCAGCCCTGTGCTCGAGGAAATAGCAACATAACATTGAGACTTGCGGTCCCCTTTGCCAATAGTTAAAGCGGTGTGTTTGAACTTTTGTCTGTACCCTACACACATTCTGCACTGACGTCCACACAACAAAATGGCATTGAGAAGCAGATAAACAGAGAATATGGAAGTTTCATAAATAACTTTTTTTTTCCTGTGGGACTGTAAATCATTTATACTTCAACCACAGCTAATCTAGATAAACACTTTCCAGGTGCCTCTCTCTGTCTTGTAACCCATTCTGGTTTTTTCTTCCTTGGTAAATGGATTTTTAAGAATTTTTTTATTAATCTGTACTGTAATTTTTAAAAGGTGATGTTGGGGAGGAAGAGGAGGAGGAGGAAGATGAAGAAAATAGCACTGATGTCAAAACACTTGTGGATGGACCGCCTTTAAAACGGACAAAAATTCAGTGTTCTTAACTGTTGCCTTAAAAACTATTTAAATTTGTAAAGAAGACTTCACTTGTCAATGTACATATTGCATAGTTATATCTCTAGAAAAAACAACTATTTTTGGAAACTAGACAACTACATTTGTTTCTTTTGGTTATGTTTTAGAAGGGAAATGCCTTTTTACTTTTCTGATACTTAACAATACGAATAAAATACTTGGACAAAAAAGAGAATGAGGTGTTGCGTAGTAGACTCTTTTATATGGAGAGAAATTCTTAAATGTTTGAGGGGAAGAAAATGTGGATTGCCACTGTCGAGAGGGATCTTTAAAAAGATTCAAACCCACAAACCTTAGTGGCCACATTGTTTGTATTTATCTCTTTACTAAAGTCATGAGTAGTTTAGATCTGTTATTTTACACTACTTCTAGGTTCCCTGTGTGTTTTTTTTGACACTCTTAAATGGTAATTTACTCAATTTTTAAAAAACACACAAGTTACTATTGCTGAAATATTAAACTACAAAATAGGAACTAATAATTTCTTATAAGGGTGTTATTGATAGGAGACTGTATAAATTAACTGGAGTATTCCACACTTGCTTAAATATATTGGCAAGGAACTACAGGTTGAACCTTCAAAAGTCTGGGACTTGTGGTCTGGCAACATCTGTGGTCCAGCAGGATCGTGAATATTGCCAGACTAGAGAGCCCTGGCTGACCATGGTCAGAAGTGCAGCCTGGGCTGTGCTGTCATTGGGGAGTGCATTCCCAGCTGGGCTGGAGCTGTAGGAAGCACAGTCCTGGCCAGGGCTGATGGCAAGGAGTGCAGACCCACCTGGGGCTGGCACAGTGGGGGGGTCACAGCCCCACCTGGGGCTGGAGGCAACAGGGCTGGCTGGCAGCAAGGAACGCAACCCCGGCCACAGCTGGCGGTGAAGAGCATGGGCCAAGGCTGGAATCAGCGGGGTCAGAATCTGGGCTCACAGCCCTGGATGGCGCTGTGGGGGGTTCAGCCTCAGCCAGGGTTGGAGATGGTGGGGCCGGCCCCTGTCTGGGGCTGGCATGGTGGGGAATGCAGCCCCGGTCACAGTTGGCATGGTGAAGGGCTAGAGGAAGCGGCAGGGAACGCAGCCCTGGCTGGGAGCAGAGCCTATAGCTGGGTAGGGAGCTTTAACTCCAGAAAACTCTGTGTTTTGGGACCACTCAGGTCCCAAGTGTGTCGAACAAGGGAGGTTATACCTGTAGCTGTTTAGCTTTACAAGAAGTCTAGAGGATAAAAGATCTGTTTATGGTGTTGGGTCTCAGAAGTATTTGTGTTTAACACATACCTATGCATATGTCTTGTAAAGTTATTTGAAAACAGAACAGTGGGGCTTGCGGTATCACTATCATTCAAATAAATAAATATATAATATGCCATAATTTTATATGGCTTCTAAAACATGAAATTAAACCAAAACATGCAAGAAATTGTCAGGAGCATTGTCAGTTATGTAACACCAACACGGATTTCTCTATCTTAAACATAACTTCATAACTACATTGTAAGGATGAATAGAGTTAAAAATCTTTGTAGTTCTTAGTAGTGTTCTATAAAAATTTACCTTTATTTGTATATAGGCATTAAGTATGGTAAGCATCGTCAGATTTGCGACTTACTCAGATCAGATGCATGTTATCAACTAATAACTAGTTTTGTGTTAGCCATTTTGTGAGATGTGAATAAACTGCATTTATAGGATTCCCCGTATAAACCATTCATTACTTCACTCTAACTAGAACAAAGCGCAGTAATTAGTGACACATCCTATCTGGCTAAGGGGTTTGCTTTGCCACCTATCATTAGTGTTTTAAAAACAAATTGGGAGTATCAAGGTCTATGTGTCTTCCTTTTTGGGGTTATAGAGACACTGCATAAGTAGAGTTTTCTTTATTTGCTTTTTTTTCATGGTGGCTGGTGTATTCTGTTTGACAGAAAAGCTTTAATCTGTGTTTTTTTTGTTTTGTTTTTATACTGCCATGCTGCAATGGCTAGTGAATACTGTGATCACTGCTCTTCTTTGGCTTATACTGGTTTGACCTCCAGTATTCTTGGACCAGGGAGTGCTGACTAGGAACTCCAGCAGCAAGAAGGCTGGCGGGGCTGGGACTGGTGCAGAGCCCTGGTAGTGCAGCAGGGACCACGCAGGGCTGGGGACGTGGCAGTCGCAGCAGCCCTGGGAGCAGGGTAGGAACTGGGGTAGTCCAGGCTCCTGGAGCCATAGCAGCCAGGCAGGGGGCGCAGCTGGGGCCGGCAGCATAGAGGGAAAGTGGTCTAAGGAGCTGGTAGCAAGGAACCACCTCTGACCAGTCCAGGACAACAGAATGTGTCAGATCAGATCCTGAAGCTGCTGGACCAGATAGGTCTAACCTCTATTAAATATATGAAGAATGCATGCAGTCAGTCTGTGTTAAAACAAGCTGTCATTATTACCCCATCTCGATCTCCCATTTTATTCCACCAGCTTGTTTTTTTTTTTCACTAACAAAATGTTGTGCAGGCAGCTGTGCAAGTGGAGCGCTGCTCATGATGTTCTTTATTCCATTAAAATGGATGCTTTGCAGATCCAGTGGTCTGCATGCACAAAGAAGCTTGCCTTTAGATTATAAATCCTTTTGGAACGGACTGTCTTGTACATGTTTGTGCTAGGCCCAGCACAAAGGGGTCCTAACCCAGTTGGTGGTTGGTGATACAGTCTGCTATATATTTTAGAGAGTTTGTGCATCTGTCCATCTGTGAGTCCGTTTGTTCAAGAACGCCTCCAAAATAAGAGCTAAACCACCAAATTTGGTAAGCAGCTTTGTCTTATCATAAGTTAAAGCAAGGTCAGGGTTTGGGTGTGCTGGGGCAATGGAACGTGTGCAGAATGCTATTTTTTCACGACAAAGGAAAAGTGATACAGACGTTTTTATTTTAGAAGGGGATGATAAATGGTGTTAATGACAGTACATAAAGATGTTCAAGTTCTATATAACAGTTATATTGGATATATTTATTCAAGGATAGGAGTATAGTTCAGTGACCTAGACAAATTCGAGGATTGGTCCCAAAGAAATCTAATGAGGTTCAATAAGAACAAGTGTGGCATCCTGTATTTAGGATGGAAAAATCACATGCCCTGCTCCAGGCAGGGGACCAATAGGCTAAGGCTGTGCTCCCTGGGGCTCTTGCTGCCTTCCCTCCACCCCACCCCTGTGGTCATTCATGAACATAACTATCCCTGCTATCACACTCCCTCCCTTTCTGTTGGATGTGTGTGAAATGTAATTGTTTCACATCACATATAAGTTTTGCAGGAAAAGGACCTGGGGGTTACAATAGATGAGCTGGCTATGAGTCAATAGTATGCCCTTATTGCCAAGGAGGCTAATGGCATAGGGCTGCATGAGTTGGAGCATTGCCAGCAGATAAAGAGAAGTGATTATTTCCTCTGTTTGGTACTAGTGAGACCACATCTGGAGTACTGTGTCCAGTTTTGGGCCCTCCTCCCCCACCACAGAACGGGGATTTGGACAAATTGGAGAGAATCCAGCAGAGTGCAATGAAAATGATGAGGGAACTGGCGCACATGACTTATTTGCAGAGACTGAGGTAACTTGCTTTAGTCTGCAGAAGAGTGAGAGGCGGTTTGATAGCAACATTCAGCTACCTGAAGTGAGAGCCAGGCTATTCTCAGTGGTGGCAGATGACATGAGTAGGGATGGGTAGCTATTGGGTAATAAAATAGTGGACTCTGTAGTTGGGGGAGGGTCGGGGGCAGCAGCCAGGGTGCTCTGGCCTTGCTCCTTGGTGGCCAGGCAGGAGCCAGTCTAAAAAAC